AGATTCCTACTGATGATACCTGGATAGCAGGGCGTTGGGTTAAGTAGCACAAGCAAAAGACGCTATTCTTAAGACAACACGCCATAGCCATATGTGACTTTGATTTGACCATGCTTGGGGGTGCTGTAAGCTGTTGTAAATGTAACTTGGACGGACAAGTGGATATATGAGTGTTGTTTGAAGACAGATATTACTAAGATACCTACCTATACAAGGCTATATTTGGGTGCAGTCATACATCAAACCGTGTGTCTACGCCTCGCAGCTACAGACCGAAATGCCGCGTCTGCTTATGTCAACACTGCACGGCTTATGATTTGCGGGCACTCATACCATGCAGTGACTCAGTTAGTCAATGCCAGGTAACTCGAATCCGTATTTCGTATAGATGGTAAGCGCATCCCTGATGAATGTTTTGAGGCATTGTTGAGGGCATCGTGGGTGGTATCGCTTCTCTCGTGAGCCTTCCTCTGGTGGTAAAAGTGACCACGTTTGTAAGTGTTGGTTTGTTGGTTCTTGGAATTCCCACTGCAAGAGAGGTAGCATTGCCAACTTTGCCTATGCACTTCCAAGATTCGCTGATGCCAAGGGTTGTAATTGAACTGTTTTTTTTTGTACAACTAAACTCCAAAATATCAAAACGCACATGTGCATTTGCCTGTCCTGACTGCTACCGTTTCCCTTTCGAGTCCCACGTGCCAAATCCATGCTTGCAGCAGCCATATAGTACATCATATCATACATATCAAATCACCTGATGTTGATTTAGTCCTTTCCGGCCCAGCGGTTCCTGTCAACCCTAGCCTTGGTGTCCTTGTCAAAGTCACCGTTTGCGTAGACCCATCCTCCAGCAACACAATTAGCCGCGCCGAGACCAATGGCGGTACCTCGCACGACACCACGGACGGAGAAGCGGCCGCGGAAGGGCTGACGACGACGCAGGGCAAGAAGCGCGTAGAGGCCAGACCAGGCAGCCGTCAAGCCAGCGCTACCGGTGGGATAGCCTGAGAGGTTGAGGTAGGATGAGAAGAGTAGCGGAGGGGTGAAGATGAAGAGGGGCAGGGATGGGGGCCGCGCGTGGAGAGCGGTTATGAGGGTTGCCAGAAGAGATGGGGGCAGTGATGCAGCTGCGACGTAGTGTCAGTTGATATTGTCTTGTTTTCCTTGTTCGTATTGTGTGTTTTGAGTCATATGGTGAAGTATGTGATATGGTTCAAGTTGCAAGGATGAGTTGAAGAGAGAGGCAGAGCTCAACTTACTTCCCCAGTCATTCAGATAACCAAAGATGGATTTGGAGGCGGCAGGAGCCACAGAATTATTGTCTGTCATGATTGATATTGTACAATTGGGTGAGTAGCTTGGCCAGTTGTAGATGTGATGCTCATAAAAAAAAAGAGCTTCCTATTGCTGCTACGGCCAGTAGCTACCACCACTCAATTTGTGACGTCGTGCATAACCTGATGACTAAGGCACTTTTTAACCGCGTCTACCTGAGAATTAGAGACCAACCCAACTCGGCAATTCCCGTGTTTGTGATGGCCTCGTCCTCCAACGACATAAACTTTGTACTACCGATAAACATCCGGATCCTTCGACAACGTACGCACTGACGACGACGAGCATCTGTGTCTTTTACAAGGAAAGAAATCCTACAGAATATTTAATCGTCTCAATCCGAGACAGCGGTCAACTGCAAAAAGCCCAATCGTTTCGGGCTAGACTTCTAGCTTCAAGGAAGAAACAGCACTGCCACAGTTGAATCACCCGAAAGGGGTAGGTCGTCTAAGTAAATCACACATTATTTTTCCATCAGGAAGAAAACATTCGATATTTCTTGGCTTTTTACATGCGCCTTGCCATTCCCATCTGGGATTGACGACCCGTTGAAGCCTTGTTCTCATTATTCATCTATGTAAGTATTGTTTACACTAAGAAAGAAAGAAAGGAAAAGTAAGATCCATGTTGTAAAGAGAAGAACATGAAATCTTTTAACAATAAAAAGAAGGGAATAGTTAATGATTAAAAATGGGGGTATAATGAAGAAGCGAAAGACAAAAGAAAGAAAAGAAAAGAAAACGTCAAGTCATACAGTTTCCCACGTCTCGTCCAATATCATCATGTCGTTAGGAAATCTCAACCTCAAAATCAGCCTTACTCCAACGATCAGCGCCCACCATGATGATACCGCGGGTCCTGCGAGTAAGCGCTCTGATCATATTCGCCCCAGCTCTCGTTCGAGTAGCCCTGGCCACCGTACTGCGCTCCATACTGGGAATATGCTGTCGTATCCCACTGCTGTTGGTAGTTGGTGGCGTACGCCTGCATGTTGTACTGTTCCCCCGAGGGTCCAGCCGTGGCATAGCCTCCGCTTTGGTCAGCGCCGGACAAAAGGTTCAGGTCGAAACCATCCTCCGGGCTGAGCTGTGAGAAGTCGAACTGACTCAGCGCGCCATCTCCTTCTTCTCTGGAGGTCGCTATTCGCGATGTGTGGCCGCGATGCTTGCTCGAGCCCTTGGACGAACTGCCCCCTCGTCGGGAGCTCGAGCCTGAAACGCTCTCGTCGTCTGTCGACTTGCGATGACTCTTCTTCTTGGAGGACTTGGAGCCCGAACGAGTGTACTCGCAACGAAGACTGTTGGTCCGGCACCGTTCGCAGCCATTCTTATCTCCACTACAACGAAGCTATACACAAGCAGTCATGTCAGCAAATAAGCTCTTGTCAAAGCAGCCGAGTATAGTCCTTGGCGCCGGCGAGCCAGGCTTGAAGGAAGCGGCTTCGCCAATCCTAAGTGCCGGGAAGATGGGGGTAGGTGTACCTTTTTCTCGTGGCATCTATCGCACGCCTGGTGGGAACTAGAGCGGGCCGTGACAGGGTCGAAGCCATTGCGAACGCTCTGGACCTCATCAGTCTCAGGATCGTACTTCCACGTTCCAAACATGGTTCTGTGTGTTTGTATGTGTGTATGTGTGTATGTGTGTTTGTATATCGGACTGTTCCTGATGAGTATGAATCTCGATGACCCATATGATGTAAAGTGAGGATGAAAGGATGACAGTGATAACAGGCAGCTAGCGTGTAAAGAAGGATGTAGATATTGGTTGTATATGTATATGTATATGTATATATGTATATACGTATACGAATGAATATGTGCTTGACCTTGAAAGACTTGTGTGATTTGTTTTCTGCCTGATAGGAAGCATCTTGTGACGTCTTATAAACCTCCGAGGGGGCATCTTCTTATGAGTCGTGGCCAAGTTCGAGGGTCTTATAGGCAACCATGAGAAAGCAAGCACCCTTCTTGCCATCTGCCATTGAGATGATCAAAAAAGGGACCCCATCCTGGTGGGCATGATAGCATCGTGCCGAGCCGCACTACCAGGCTTCTGCTCCTGGACCAGGCACCATGTAGTTGAGGACCCCTGTCATCCCGATCTGTGTGATTGTCCGGGACTCCGTCTAAGTTTCCGCCCTAAATCGACAGAGGATTCATTGCATTGCCGGTGGATGGGGGATTTTTGTCTTGTACAGGGTGAACAAACCCATTACGTTGGTCTTGTTTTTAGAAGCTAGTTTATGGGAAAAGGTGGAAAGGCTGCCTAATTTCCCGGTAGGATTATTCTGTAGTACATAGAGGAGTTGGTCTAAAGTTAGGGTTGGTAGAGTTAGTATGTTGGAGTTGAGTATTTGCCTAGAGTTGGTAGCTCGAGACCTTTCCTTGTTTGTTGATAAGCTTGGGTAATGATTGGTCCGGTTCATTTCCAACCGAGGCATGCCTTTCCGTTTCCATGTACTCCATGTATGTACTCCATATGCTCACAACATAGTAGACTGCGCTACATGGGCACGAATAGGTATGGGATATGTCTACTACGTAGTATTCGGGAATACCCAACCCTATGGTATGAGTGGCTGTGCCGCATAACTGACCATAGAGAGTTTAGTATCTGTAGATAGTAGATATTGATAGTATGACGGTGTAGCACTGCATTGCAGCGGCCCCCAACTTGGGCGCTTGGAGCTTATACACAGCAAAGCGCAGCAGTAGCAAAGCACAGCACAGTACAGCACACGGGCAGCTTGCCACGTTTAGTCAATGTTTTTTCTATTATTCTGCTCAATTCACGAAATAGGAAATCTCCTTGATGTGCCTTGCATCCTTCTGATCTGCAGTACCACGGCATTGATCAACGGCGGCCGTTGGCTTTGTCCCCGTAACAACCCATGTCGTTTCGTCAAAAACCTCATTTCTTCTGTTGGTTCTTAGTCTCAAACGTGGAGCAAGAAAAAGAGACAACTAAAACAACGCAGCGCCGCAATTTTAGGCAAAAGCCTCCACAGAACGAACGGGTAAGGGAAGCCGACACAAACCAAAACTCAATCCTTGGAATGTCATGACATAAATTAACCAAAATCTTTAGTTTTTCTTCTATCGTATCATGTTTCTTCTAGACTCTTGGGAGTTGAGTCATTCTAGCGGGGCTTATTTCTTTCTTTCTCTCTAATCTCTGTCCCAGAGAGTCTTACTGGGTATATAGCCGAGGCAGAGTAGCAATACGGATTAAAGTGGTTGCATAGGAGACAAGTAACAAGTAATACAGGTCAGTCGACGTTGATGTTTCAATGGGGCTGTGAGTGATGCGGCAAGTATGTAATATCTACCAGTTTGTATCAAAACTGCACATTGGGCTGATACCACGTATCAGCCTCGTACGGCACGGCACGCTATCTCAGTGGTGGGATAACGGTGGTGGTTAGAATTTAGGCAGACTGTGGAGGCTGAGGCTATCACTCTCCAAACCTCCCCTCATCACTGGAGCATCATGGGACTCGCAAAGCAGGCCTCAGATTTATTATCACCTCGTATATATTTTTTTCTATCCAAATTGACAAACTGACAGACCGACTTGGTCACTTACCGGTATACAAAAAAATCCCAATTGCTTTTACATATGCTTACCCGACCTTCATCTGCATCTAGGTATCTAGATTCCTGTGATCACGCCGCCCAATGCACGCTTTTGATCTGTCTGACTTCGAGAAACTCGGCATGTCGGATAAGATCTTCCATTGAGATGTCGTTGTCGAGTCTCTGAACTCTCTCGTCATCCCAATGCACGAGAACCTTGGCATGTCGCTTCTCGGGTGCCAAGAACGAGGCAATGCGATCGCATGATGCGCTGGGGTTGAGTGATATAGTGTACGAAGGACCATTCTCTCGGTTCAACGCGCTTCTGGACTTGTCAACTACCTGGATGAGGTATCTGCCCTCTTCTGTGCGCTTGCTGCGTCTTGATCCTGCGGCCCGCTTGGAAGACATCCCGGGGCCCTGGTTCTGGTGGTGGTTGTGATCGTGGGCTGTGCCAATTGGGTGGGGGCAGCATTTACAAGTACACTTTGTGGGATCCATGTTTCGATACTGCCCTCTAGATTCAAGAGGAAGGACATATGTGCCGTATGTTGAGGATCCCCAGGTGGGTTTTGACGCCCGACCGCTGTTGAGGAAAGCGTTGATCTCTTCGGGGGCTGGACGAGAGTACTCACCTTCCCGATGAGAAGTATCTTCCTTTTTGGAGTGAGGTTTGGTCTCCTGACCATCTTGGCTCTCTCTTCTCGAACCTGTCCTCTTCCCAGAGCGAACCGTGTCGGAATGAACTTGGTCTGAATGAACATGCTGTCTTCTCTCAGTGCCAGGACGGCTTTGTCTCTTGGCATTGGCATCTCGTGTGGATTGAGGGCGCTCATTTGCTCTCCCATCACGACGACCTTCCCTGCTTGAAGGCGCTTCTCTGTGACTTGACGAGCGATCTCCTCTTCCTCTGCGATCTGTGTAAGATCGGCCCTCCTCCTTTGTTCGGGTATCTCTAGGAGATCGATGTTGTTCTTCTCTCCTCATGTAAGAACGGTTGTCCCTCTTCGCATAAGAGGGTGTGCGCGACACCGTTGGTGCGCGATAGTAGTCATCACGGGCATGACTTCTATAAGGCTGATCATTGTACCTGTGGTCGCGAGACCGTGAGAAGGACTGAATTCGCTTCCTAGCGGCTGCAGCGTCAAGATCGTATCGTTGAGATGAGTACGACATGATTTGGGTTGTTTCGTGATACAAACCTGGGTATGTATAAATGGGTTTGCGTGCGAATTTCGATTACTTCTATGTGGGATCTGGTGTTCTTTCAGGTTTGTAAGTTTCGATATTGATGTTGATATTATCTATCATATTCACTTCACGAACCCTTCGAGCTATAAGTATCGAGTCCTCGAGGCCAGGCTTGTCGGCCATTTTTGAAGACCTTTGTTGAAAACCGAGCATCGTCATGATGCTGACTGAAGAATAAATGCAAACATCCAATGCTCTTTGTTCCCTTATTGGGCTCTGTCGTACTGTTCACTCGAACAACACTTGGCTGTGACATGTTCACAACTCTTTTCAGTCATTATCGAAACAGCTTGCAGTGCTTCCCTTGTCAATTGTCAAAGGCGTTTTCAAAGAACGATGTCTTGAAAGAAGTCGAGTCTGTTTGTCTATTCAGTTGGCTTGAGCTGCAATCAAGCCTCTTCTTGAGTGGTCCCAAGACGGAAGGTCGCTCATGGTTTGATTAAGGCCAATCCTAAATGGAAACAGTGGGAAGCTGGAAGAATGAATGGCGCAATGAGGCTCAGGGGCCTAGCAGGACCCGACAGTTGGTTTCTAGGGGCTCTGGCAGAGATAGAGTCCCCTAAAACGAAAAGTCGATGCAGTCTGGTAACCAATGACTTGTTTCGTCTTGTCTGCATGTAGTCTTCCCCACAGTGGCCAAAGGGGGCTAAGGGTGCGGCAAAACCGAGAGTCCACTCTCCAAAAGGCCAGCAAAGACATCCCCATTCCGTTCCATCCCACCCGCACTTTAATCTTTGCTTTGCTTCCATTCTCATCAACCTTCAACTTTTTTGGCATTGCCTCGTTTCCTTTCTTTTTCACCTCAATCCTTCTTCGCCGGTGTATTCAACCCGTTAATCAAGATGGCTATCTCTCCTCAAATGTAAGCAACTCAACTTCTCACGCGACAGCTAGTCGCAAAGCTCTTGGTGCAACAATGCTGACATTTCTTGCGATAGCACCAACCTGGTCATCATCCTGGGTATGATGCAGGTCTCCAAGCGCGTTCCCTTCGATGATCCTTTTGTGCTCAACGTTGTCCGCGCCGTCTACCTTGCCAGCAACGTTATCATTGCTGGTCTTTACTTCTACACCCAGCTGAAGATCAATAAGAAGAAGGGTACGACAAACTTTCCGCGGTCTCCATAACATATCCAAGACAGCGCAATGCTAACAAGAGCTTTACAGACCTCACCACCCTCAAGTATGTTGAGCCCGCTCCCATGGGTTCCTCTGAGGAGGGCAAGCTCGTTACCACCACCATCCACGCCTACGACAACGAGCAGATCCGCACCGCTTTCCGTGGCCAGGCCATGGGTATGGCTATGATGGCTTTCATGCACTTGTACATGAACTACACCAACCCTCTTCTCATCCAGAGCATCATCCCTCTCAAGAGCGCTTTCGAGAACAACATGGTCAAGATTCACATCTTTGGCAAGCCTGCCGCTGGTGACCTCAAGCGTCCCTTCAAGCAGCCTGCTGGTTTCATGAGTGCCATGCAGGGTGGCCCTGCCCAGAGCGACAAGAAGGCCGTTGAGGCTGCTGAGCGCTCTGGCCGTGGTGGTGCCAAGGAGGAGTAAACTGCTATCACTGAAAGGATGGTTACAGGTTTCTAGGATTAGGTTTGGTCTTTAGCCAAGGTTGATATCGACCCTGGCTGTACTATAATACAGGTGGTTTACAAAAGCATTTGTGTTGTGTCAAATAGAAAGGGATTTGAGTAATTTTTGGAATGATGTCTAATGTGTACGATTTTGATCGCTATGATAAAATTGGAGGCCGTATCTGTATGCGTGAATTGTAGTCACGTTTTCTCGTGTTAATTGGTGACATAATTAGGATATCTGATCGCGACAATCCGCCCCTCCGCCACCCATCGATCGCCGTCATACCGAAGGACTGACTTTGGACCCTGATTTCCCCCCTACACTCTTTTCTTCCAACTCGCATTTTGTTGCAATCGTCCTCGTAACTCCTATAGCTGTATTGCGAACCCCGTTAATTCCCTCCAAGTTGTTTCGTGATATTTTATAATCCTCCATAACGTCATGGAACGGCCATCTACACCACCTCGGGCGACAAAGCCTGCGCCTGTTATTTCTCCTCCCACACCAGAAGTTACAAAGCGCATAGTATGTCGAAGCAAGAAGCTGATTCTGTGTTTTATTGATTCGCTGACTCTTGTCTAGGAAGAAAATCGACTTCGCGCAAAGGCAATCAGAGATCAGCGTGAAGCTGAACAACGAGCGACCGGCACCGTACCCGAGATTCCCAAAAGCTCCGGCGGCTTCGTACCAACAGACGATGTCTACATCTCTAAAACTGCCGACGGAAAGCGACCTTATAGCTCCATCTCGACGACAGAATCTAAGGGAACGAATCGAGATGGGCGCAACAAGGGCGATGAAGAAACCCTGCGCCCTGCGCGCAAGTTTACAAAGTTCGTGGATTATAATATGAGCGCCATGACAGATACAAAGGGTGGTTTCTTGTCGACAGAAGATGATCCCCATAACTATGCGCTCGGTGGCAAGAAGCAGGACGACGCACAGCGACCAAAGCACATGAGCGTTCAGGAATGGGAGAGGTTACAGTTAATACGGAACTTGAAGCGACTAAAGGCTGGGCCATTCGAACCGGGTCTTAGTGTTCTTGCTGATGACGAGACACGAAAGAAGTGTAGGGATTGCAGCAGCTTGGAAATCGATTTTGTCTGGGAAGAGGTCTTCCATCTTTGTGTCTGCAATAAATGCAAGGAAAAGTACCCTGAGAAGTACTCACTGTTGACCAAAACCGAGTGCAAAGAAGACTACTTGCTTACTGACCGTGAGTTGTGTCACCGGGAATTTCGTTTAGTATCGCTAACATGAAATAGCCGAGCTACGAGACCCTGAATTATTACCTCATCTTTCCAAGCCAAACCCTCATAAATCCCACTGGCACGACATGATGCTATTCCTTCGCTGTCAGGTGGAGGAGTATGCTATCAAGACGAAGTGGGGTTCATCAGAGGCATTAGACGCTGAGTACGAGAAGCGCGAGACTCAAAAGAAGGCTCGCAAGGAGGCCAAGTTTAAGGAGAAGTTGTTGGATCTAAAGAAAAAGACACGAACAGACGCTTTCCGCCGACAGGCCGGCAACCTGAGCAAATCTGGGGCAAGCAAGTTTGGAGATGCAATAGGGGGTGGGAAGCATGTGCATGAGTGGGGAAGGACAGTTGAAAATGAGGACGGAATGACAGTCAAGACGTGTGTTGACTGCGGTATGGAAGTCGAGGAAATGGAGTTTTAAGACATTGATATCTATTTTGACAGGTGGGGCATCACATATAACGATATAGAGCACTATACCTGACTTTGCCGCCGAGGCAATTTATTATAAACAAGCTTTTGTTTGTAAATACTTTGCATTTTGTTTCTTGTTAGCTGTCATCAAAGATAATCAATCCCCTGTTGATATTCTGATGATCTCCAGGGATAATGCAAAGTTGATGCCTGGCAGCCTCACGTTCACAGTTTCCAGTTTGTTCAGCCATGATTGGTCAAAAAGTCGGCGGCAAAGCAGCGATACAGAGCATAGCACCAACCAACAGCGTAGCGTGGAAGTACAGTACCCGACATACAGGACAGCACAACAGATGCACCTCCAAGTACCTGGACTGGCAAGCTTGCTTTCTTTAGCAGCACCCGACCTGACGTCGATTTTTTTCCGACTTACAACCAACATAGACCAAACAACTACATAACGACTTTGTCTGTCCTTACAGCCGGTCCAAGGCCGAATATCTACTGAGACGATAACACGTACAAAGATTCCTTGAATCTTTTGCGCACGAAACTTCCAACCTCTAGCCTAGCCTAGCCTCGCTTCGCTTCGTCACTTCTTCACATCAAAGTCCACCGCACTGAGCTTGTCCGATTTCGAACCGGCACTCGCTCGCCGTCAACGCTATCTTTCCCATACCGACCCGGATCTCCATGCACCCGCCCAATTGAGAGAGGCGCGCTGTGATGGGCCCAAATGCTGGCAACGGCGTGGGCGGAATGGAGATGGGGCCTATGATGCAGGGCAACGGCTCCAACCTGCCCCAGGCCACCGAATACACACTTCAGGGTGTTATGCGCTTCTTGCAGACCGAATGGCATCGACATGAGCGTGATAGGAACTCGTGGGAGATCGAGAAGCAGGAGATGAAGGGCCGCATTGCCAACCTCGAGGGTCAGGCGCGGAGGGCTGATGCCACACAGCGCGTGCTTAGGAAGTACGTTACCATGCTGGAGCGCAAGGTCAAGGAGCAGACGGCTCAGCTCCAAGGACAGGAGGCTGTCGATGCGGAAACGGCTGCTAAAAACGACCGCACTGCAAAGATCCAGGAGAAGCTACGATGTGAGCAATACCCCTAACATAATGGTTTGATGTACTAACGCTGCTATAGCTTCTTTAGAGGAAATGCCTATTCCTGGTGTCGATGGCGTTAACTACGAGAAGCTTGACCGAGGTGACGAGGAAGCTCAGCGACAGGATCTCAAGACCTTCCTCGACCAATGCCAATCCGAATTTATGTACCTTATGATTACCCCCGCAAACCCGCAACCGCCTCGAGAGTCTCCCCCGCTACCGATTATGGAGGATCTGCGAGAGGTTGAGGCATTCGGCATGCCCGCGCCCCAACCTATGGAGCGACAGTTCCAGCTACCCACGCGAAATGCCCAAAACCATGTACAGGACATGAACTCGAGAATGCCCCAGCAGAACCACGTACCTCATGCACAGAACCAGCAGCAGCACTTTGCTCAGAAACAACAAGAACTACAGCCTCAACCCATGGTTCGTTCATCGGCTGAACACCCCCCTGTTATGTACCAAAACAACAACGACTGGCCCGCCCCTGTATCTGTAACCTCTCGACCGGTTGAAGAGCAAGTTACTCCGGCAAACCATGCAGCGGAAGTTCTAGGTGGAATGGAGGATTCTGCTGAGCTCAGAGAGAAGCACTCTGCGCCACCAGAGAACGATGGATGGGACTTTCCAGAGGGCACATTCCCTGAACCTGGGAACTCCCAATCTAACCAATCTCAACCAAATAGACCCGATACGGATGCCTTTCCTGCTGCTGACAACTTGCCCAAATCCCCGAGCCGACGAGACAGCTCCCACCGAAGGAAAGGCTCCATGTCTAGACGACGGAGTGCCGACCATGAACTAGCTTTGGCTGCGCAAAAGGCTGAGAGTGGTAACTTCAAGCTCAGATTCGGATTACGAGGCCATCTTGATACTGTTCGAACGATTATATTCTCTGGGGGCGGCAGTCCAGGAGAGCCAGAAATCTGTACTGGTGGAGACGATGGTATGATCAAGCGTTTCCACATTCCCAGGTTAGACGGCCATGCTGGAAGTCTTGCGCACACGGCGTCGGATCTTGATGTCACAGCCAACTTTACGCACCGTGGTCACTCGGGAGCGATCCTTTGCTTGACGTCATGGTCTCCTTCACCAAACTTCTCGACTGGAGGTCGCGCAATTGGCGATGGCTGGATATTCTCTGGTGGCCAAGATGCAACTATTAGAGTTTGGGAACGTGGAAGGGTTGATCCCAAAGCAACTCTCGAAGGCCATACAGATGCTGTGTGGGCTATTTGTGTCCTTCCAGCAACTCTTGGTCAAATATTCGGAAGCTCAAGTCCTTACGGCAACACTGATCGCATCTTGGTTGCGTCGGGTGGTGCAGACGGCAGTGTTCGCTTATGGTCAGTCAGCGCGCCTCCTCAGTTGAGCTCACCACAACCTGGAACGAACCGAGCCATGACTGGCCGCGGAGGTAGAGTCCGCGGTAACTCGATGAGCTCTGGCAGCGCGTTCCCCAACACTCCTCAGGCTACTATTGCATCGAACTCGCCCTTCAACCACACCCTTATCCATAATATTTCGCGTTCGGACGGTTCTACAGCTAGCCCGACGTGCATTGCACCTCTGGGTACTACTGGCGAATCATTTGTTGTCTCCTATTCGGATGCCGCCATTATTGTTTACGATACACGAACTGGTGAACAAATTGGCACGATGGATAGCTCCGAGACATACGACCAGACGATCAAGACCGGCGTCAACGCTGTCGTGGCGACAACAATGGGTCTTGACCAGGCCAACCAGAATCACAGCGGCGCTATGGGCGAGGAAGATGCCAGCTCAGGCGCCACTGGCGGTGGAAGATCAATGGCTGGCTCAGGTGTAGAGGGTACCATCATTTCTGGCCACGAAGATCGCTTCATCCGGTTCTTCGATGCTAACAGCGGTAAGTGTTTTGCATTGATACGAGAAACAATAACTAATAAATGTTCAGGCCAATGTACATACAACATGATTGCCCACCCAGATGCCATCTCCAGCCTATCTCTCAGCCCCGACGGACGTGAACTCGTCAGTGCCGGCCACGATGCCTCACTCCGCTTCTGGAGTCTCGAAAAGAGGACGTGTACACAAGAAGTGACAAGTCACCGAGTGATGCGCGGCGAGGGTATCTGCGCCTGCGTTTGGAGTCAAGACGGAAAATGGGTTGTCAGTGCTGGCGGCGACGGCGTGGTCAAGGTATTTGCACGATAATGGAGACGGCTTATGACAAGGTGGTTTTTGGTGCGGGCGGTGCATTATTTATTGCCTGGCGGTTTCACGGCATTGTAGCAGTTGGATGACGAGATGAAATGGCTTAGCAACGAACGGGGGAAGGCCCATTGTGTTATAGTATTCTATGTGTGTTTTTGGAGGAAAGGACGATTTCGCTTATTTTATACTACTCGTCGATACCCGGCATTTAGTGATTTGCTCTTTTTTACTTATAGCATTATCACAGGGAGTGTATTTTATAGTAACTCACATATGTAATGACGCTGCGAAAAGGGAATTATGATTGAGATGGTTGATTGATAGAAGCTTCAAAAAAGCAAAAAAAAAATGAAGACCTGCGTATCACAGATGGCTGGATCTCTCCCGCCGGGAATTGAACCCGGGTCTCAAGCGTGACAAGCTTGCATACTGACCACTATACTACGGAAGATGAACAGTCTAGAGACTGTTGTAGTTGGGGGGGTTGTTGACAAACGGTCCGTCGTAGTAGTTTATATTCCCTACAAACAGTTGGCTCGAAGGTTTGGCGCTAAAGATGGAGCTACATAGTAGTTGCACGACTACATATGAGTCAGGCGAACTCTACTGGTGTTAACTCAACCTATCCCATCTATCCTTCGAAAAACAAGCTTCAACTAATCGAAAAATAAACTGGCACGGCATAGAATAAGTCAATAGTGATGCAATATCTTTTTGAGGGGGTTCTAGATTGACATGATTGTTTACTGTTGCAGCTGTACTTCGTTGAGTTTTATCCCACCCTCGCCCATCTGGATATCATCATATGTAACAAACTACACTTTGTCTCTGCACCGCGTGCGTACCAAAATGGTAGACGTTTAGTGGATTAACGGTATCTTCATTGAAGATTCGCCCTGTTTGCTAAGAAAATCTTTACCTAATGAAGAAAAGCTACTGATGATGAGACACAGTTGCGTATGTCAAACCGGGCTGCGGCTTGACGACTAAGTAACAGCGCACAGTCTTCTGAGAACCTATTGCTATCTTAACTATGGAACCTCTGTTCCTTTTTTAATTCATTTATTTGCCAGAGCGCAATTAAAAAGGGCCAGTATAAGTAGGTATATCAATGGAGATAATACTAGGGTGATCCAGATAGATATTGTAGAGGATTGGACACTGATTTAAGTACCTGGAATAACATTTGCACCCCCTGCTGATAACTTGACTGTATATACATGTGTGGAACTCTACTGTATTCTGGTGGCGCGGTACTCAAAACTCTCCACCTCATTTCATCACCGACTTTTCATCTTTCATTCTCATTTTCATTCTCATTTTCACTTTCACTTTCACTTTCACTTCCATTCTTTATCTTTCATCAATCTTCTTCAAGAACAAAACTACCCCGCAATACAATTATATGATTATACATTCATCTCAAAACACTCATACCTTTTGAATTGTCACACTGTTACGTTTCCACTGTCCATAAGTACACGACCAAGGCACTTAACCTACACCTCTAAATCAGGATATATATATGGGACCCATTGAAGATTAGCCAAGGCTTATTGGGCTTTCCATTTCCAAACCCCCTTGTCGATCTCAGTCGGTTTCAAAACATCATTCAAAAACACAACAACAGATCTTTCTACTCATCAGATACTCTTACAACAACCCAGGCGAACATGGTCAATGCAGTAAAACCCCCTCCAGGTTGGTTAGCCTTGCCAGCAACAGCAACCGACGAGGAGAAGGGTTACTGGAATGAATTCCTGGAACAATGGCAGCTGCAAGAGCGCAAGTTCGAGGAAGATGAAGATGAGTGGAGTAAGATCTCACGAAAGCTGAAAAAGGAACCGGCAGGCAAACTATACAATCATTATATTGGGAAGAAAGTGCAACATAAAGATCTCACTTGGGGTCATCTTGTCGCAGCTCTTATCCTTTTTGGAAAGGATCAGGTAATAAATTCGACTTTTGGCAAGAGGATTCAGGAGAAGTATCCTAAATCAGATATCACAACCATGCAATTCAACAAACGGGGGCCAACTATTAGAACATCAGCTCAAAGTAATAGAAGAGGACAGTCAAGGTCAAGGCGAGCTACAAGCGAACATGAAGAAGAGGAAAATGAAGAAACTGAAGAAGAGCAACAACTATCAGAAGAAGGACAACGAGTACCAGAACAAGAACAACAAGTGCAACAACAAGTGCAACAACAAGTGCAACAACAAGTACAACAACAAGTACAACGACAAGAAGGAGAAGGACTCGAAAACCACCGAGTCCCCGAAGAGGTAGAAGTATCAGCGCCAGCGCCAGTGCCAGTATTTTGGAATACAAGGAGATGTTTCACCAATACCACCAGTTCCGGGCCAAAAACCAGTAGCTGGCGAAGCGGTAATATCTTCGGAGCCGCCCCTCCTCCGGGAATTCCAACAAACAATCATAGCCAGTCTCCTCACCCTCAACACGGAACGACTAGGTCAAGAGACAGCGCAAGGCAGGCCCAGGCAGAAAGCGCCATCAATTGCCCTTCTAGATCTAGTTTTAAACAACCTCGGGCAAATCCCCAATCTAACAAACCCGAAGCCAGCGGTCCTGTCCAGAATCGAGAATCCCTACACCAGCCAGACTCTACTATAAACGTTATCTCAAACTTCGACCCTGACACCACCACCAACGTTGCTCAAGAAACTCCAGACTCAAACCTCAGACAGGCTCACGATTCTATGACCATCAATAGCAGTCTTGGACCCGGGGAGGGTTGCGATGGAATTTATTTATTGGAAGATACCGTTACCGCCGCCAACACTACGGCCAGCAATGGGCTCCCTAGCAATAATTTCACCAGCATTGATCTCACGGACGCTGGACTTACCGGTAGCTCCGTGACCGACCAGTCTCACAACAGCAGACTTTCCAGCAATACCTCAGCCAGCAGGCGTAGTGGTGTCTTCCCCCCAAGTCCATGGAGCACGGCAACAAGCAGGCCCACTCCCAGAAAGCGGAACATTGACCAAGTTGGAGATGATATCGCACCAAGGCCCAGCCCAGTCTCCTCAGCTGTATGGGCATCGCTCCTATCAAAGCCGTCTTCCCCTCATGTTAATACGTTTGTGGAACCTATCAATGCGACTTACGGACACCTCACCAACCACACTGGGGCTCTTGAGCAAATCTTACAACGCTACCATCAGTTAGGCGGCTATGTAATTAGCCTGGACGGGCCTGAAAACGAGCACACGCAACTGCGTGAAAATGGCATCAGTATAATTCGCGATATTGAGACCTGGGGTTTGCAGATAATCGAATCAAGAAATAGGGTCACGGCCGAAATCGAAAGCCTTCGCGAATCCAACCATAACTTTGCCAGGTCAAATCAAGAATTAGAGTTGGCAAACACCGAGACGGCCAAGGCAGAAGCCAACAAAGCCCTCGACACGCTTGTTTCCCAATTTGCCGAGCATCTATCCGACTCTAGAGCAAAGTTTGACACGTTCCGGCAAGATGTTTGGAAGTCACTTGAGGAAAATGAAGCAACAACTGGTCGCTCCTTGCACCAAAAACTGGAGAGTTTGGAGGCCCAGATGAGCACCACAACCGCCACTTTGAAGGAGGATCGTGCTAGAGAAGTGGACATGATGCAGTCCAAGTTGGAGCGTTTGGAGGCGATGCTCGAAAAATCGACTGAGAATAATGAAAAATTAGAGAAGCGGATTGAGGGGCTCACCGGCGTCGTCGCTGATATTGGAGCTGCTACCGGCGTTGTTCACTCAGAACAGCAATGGAATACGGCACTCGAAATGTACGGGCTGCTGTAATGGAGATGCATGGCAATATAGGGAATTGTTGTATATATAGATCTTGCTTGCGAAGGTGATTTGGCCAGTCGATCCAGTCAGAGCCACATCATCGCCGCTGTTACGAGACAAAACGAATAGCGTGTTTTTTAAGCATATCTTTATTATGCAAATCTTGTGTTCTATCTTTTGGCTATCTAGTCTAGCTTAGCAACATATACCAGACTCTTTTGTAGTGCTGCATAGCTTCCCAAGTCTATAGCCTGCCACCTCTAATGAGTGACAGGTTTTCTTATCTTCCGACTCAGATGTTACATAATCAGGAGATGTAGCTCTCGTGCCGTCTAGTGGACGAATCTAAAGTCCATGCGTTGTTGACCCTCGTCCTTGGTGTTAAGACGATAATCTTGCTGCTGCTCCTTGGTCAAAGCATTCCATCTTCTATCGCGAACCTGGTTTCGCCAGATATAAAACCATTTGGCCAAGTAGAACAGAACAATATTAACACAAGTGATACCAAGGATCACCCTGTTTCCTCGACGGTACAAAGGCTGATCATCTTCACGGAAGATGTTGGACGCAGCAATGTTACCACTCTGCACGGTCATGTTGTATAGAGCGGCACTGATGGCTCTCGTGCGCACACTGTTGCTGTTCTTGGCGTTCCATCCCACGAGGATAGCGTGGCAGTAGGGGTAACTGAGAAGACCGGTGATGAGAGCGTATCGAACCCATGGGGAGATGTCAGCGGGAAGGACAACCAAGGCGAGAACCCAGGGGAAGATCCAGATGTTTGAAATAGATGAGAGGATGCTTCGCTCCTTGACGCGGCCTGAGAGCCAGGTAATGATGAGCAAGTTGACTGCGAAGAGAAACTGGGAGGGGATGGCGAGAAGATTGGCCTGGAAGACGGAGAAGCCGATCTGACGAAGGATGAAGGAGAGATAAGTGTTGAAAGGCGAAGGAGGAATGTAGACCATGAGACCAATGATGTACAATGGATACTGCTCCCAGTCCTTGACGGCCTTCCAGAGCTTGGAAAGGTTGACAGCTTCTCTGTTATGATGTTAGTAGGAGCTCAATAGTTTGGATGTCGTTCGCCATACCGGTTGTTCATATCACCCTTGCTGGGATCATCGCGAAGAAGTCTGTTCACCATGATGTACTCCTCGCGCTCGTTGAACCAGCCATCTTTGCCACGGAACCAACTCTTGGTTTGGCATGGGCCCGGAGGCATGAGGACCCAAGAAAAGAGACCGATAATGAAGGTAGCAATTGCCTCAAGGAGGAATCTTGACGAGAGTTAGCATCGGTTTCGAAAACTAGATAGTATCAGGCACTTACAGCCATCGCCAGCCACCCCATCCCAGAACACCTCTCATCTGGAGAATACCGGCAGCAAGCAGAGAACCAACGATGTTGCTGGTACTGAGAGCGGTCCAGAAGAAGGCTAGCCTGATGGGAAGCTCGTTGGACTTGTAGAAGTAGGTGAGCCAAAGGACGATATCACTATACTTGTTAGACACTGCCACTAGTAAGGTTAAGTAAGACTAGACTCACGGGATGAATCCACCCATCAAAAGACCCAAAAGAGCCTTGATGGCAAAGTAAGCACTCCTACTCTGGAGCGCAGCCTGTGAGCCCGATACTAGGGACCAGCAGCAGATGAGGAATGGAATCCATCGATCGGCACCGAGTTTCTTGCTGATCAAACCGCTGGGGAGTTCGGCAGAGAGGAAGCAGACTAGGAAGATCTGGGTCATTTGTGTTAATGATTTGAGTGTTACTACAGGAGAGAAAGAGTACTGACTGTTTGGCCATAGTTGAAGTCATTGGTGTTCATGCCAATCTCTGGTAGCTATAAACGATGATCAGTTTTGACCCAATAGATATGAAGATGAATGTTTACTTACCATGTTATCGGAAATAGCACGGTTAATGTTTCGACGGTGGAAGTCTAGGGAGAGGAACATGACCCACGCCCATAGACAAATTCGGAAGTCGATCTATACAAGCATTAGCAGATATTCATGACTGAGATGGAAACTTGAAAAGCTTTCTCAAGTATTCAGCAGGATAAATCACCTTTCGAATGAGTTTCTTCTCCTCGCTTTCCGTCCAAGTAAAGCTGGGATCAAACCGGTGACGGTTCTCATACTCGGCCTTTTCGTAGACCTTTCTCCAACGGTCGGCGATATCAGGATCCGAAAAGGGATGCTCGATCGACGAGGAACCAGATTCATCGCCGCTGTCAAGAGGAGATTGGTCATGGCCCTTGACGTCAAGCACCTTTGTGGTCTTATGACCATCATCGCTGGCAGCCATTGTGGAGGATAGTACAATGTACTAATAATAGCTGAGGTCTTCTATTTCCCAAAGACAGGAAGGTGTTGGAAAGATGCCGCGGAGATGTCTGAGAATGGATGGATGTTGACGGATGCATGGGTGACTTATAAGTGATTGAGCTCCCCTTCTGGTTTGGACTTTAACTGCATGGCTGAAAAATTCCCCTCTAGACTTGCTAAGATTCTCAGTCAAGAAACGAAACCGGGGCTATCAATGTCGCGATGAGCTTTGGAAATCACCTCAAGTCTAGGCGAAGATGGGTGCTTTACTACTTGATAGACATGGCGACCCATTGACCCCCCGATATGCGAACTAGGGTATCAAAACTAGGGGCCATCAGACTAAAGATTCATGGTTAATCCAAGATGTTCGCTTCTAGCCGATTAAACGGGTTCTAGTCGAGTTATTGCCTGTGAGAGTAAATCAACATTTGCTCCGGCAGCCAATAACGACCCTTGGATAAGGCTGCGTAAGTTGATATCAAACCAAGTTGTATTCAGCTTATGGCTAGTAAGGGACCAAGTACCGAGTTTTGACTAGAATGGCAGTCTATTGGGGGGGGTTCATGATATCTCATAATGATGGATATGGCGTGCTGGCCAAGAATGGTGATCGAGCCAATCGTTGCTAGAACCGACCGAGAGGCCGTGAAAAAGACCAAGGATCTAGAACTGACCGAATTATGCTATCAAAAGTTACGATAGATAAGATAGTATCAATATATAGCTAATGAGAGTTGAAGTAGAGTTGTCCTGGTGTAAGTTTCGAATATCTGCCAGGTATAGTAGATGGCACCGTGGTATAAGTTGGCCAACTGTAACTCATCTATATTTCAACCAAACAAAATCTGATGAAGTCAAATACAAATAATATATGATGCAAATCGGGCTTATGTAACTATGATATATCCGAGACATCAACCAGCTGCATTGATGCTACTCAATTGTCGCATTGCGTGACCTATCCCTAGAAATTGCGACAACCACCACAACGTTTTCCATCCCACGTATCAACATTGCGCAATAACCTTTTGCGACATCCGATTTCAGTAGTCTCTATCGGTATTTTAGTGATTTCATAGGTCGCATTGCACCCCCATCCCACGAATTGCGTGCTCTGAGCCCAAACACAAGCCGATACCTTAGTCGATCAGCGTAACGAATGCCACACTCACGCAATGTCTCTCGAGCCAGAATTGGTTCCGATATCATCTTTATGATCATATTGGTGCGTGGCTATGACGGATACAAGCTCCTGAGCTCATGTTTCCCCGCGTTGTAAATAGGCACATCATTACAAAGGAATGTCTAGTCATCAAGAGTCAGCAGTGTATATAAAGGACTCGGTTATCTCTCAACTAGACCACTTTTCCACAGCACCAGACACGCATTTGAGATCTACATAACAAATCTCATAAACAAATCACAATGGCTCCTTCAGCTGTTGAGACAACGACGAACCCCGTCACGGAAACACCAAAAGTGAAGCTATACTCTGGCCATGTCGAGGGTGCTTACAAAGAGCTGTCCCCTACTTCATACATCCGAGAGTCCGAAGAAAAGGGCATCGATGGTCATGCTGCCGCCAAAGTGAGTCACCTGCACTTGTTGACTTGATCTCCATGTATTGACTTGGATACCAGTATCCCAACTATCTTCCAACCTGGAACCCAGACCAGGTCTACCCCCCTCTAGAGCCCTTCGAGCACTATGAACACGGCAAAGATGCAGACCCTAGCTTCTCAAACCTCTTGAAGTCAGACACCAAAGTCTCTCACCTCACTCCAACAATCGGCACTGAGATCGAGGGAGTTCAACTAAGTAGTCTCTCTGACGCCGGAAAGGATGAACTCGCTCGTTACGTTGCCGAGCGCAAGGTCGTAGCCTTCCGAAACCAAGACTTTGCCGATCTCCCCATCGCCGAAGCTCTCAAGATTGGAGGATACTTTGGCCGTCACCACATCCATCCCACCTCTGGTTCTCCTGAGGGTCACCCTGAAATTCATCTCGTCCATCGAAGTGCGGGTGACAAATCCTACGAAGACTTTTTCAAAACTCGCGTGAGCTCTGTTGCCTGGCATTCTGATGTCACGTACGAGCAGCAGCCCCCCGGCACCACGTTCCTCTACGTGCTTGACAACCCCGACACTGGTGGTGATACCCTCTTTGCCAACACAGCCGAGGCTTATAACCGACTTTCACCTACTTTCCAGAAGCTCCTGCATGGACTCAAGGCAACGCACTCTGGCATCGAGCAGGTTAATGCCAGTGTGAAGAAGGGTAGTGTTAAGCGTCGTGAGCCTGTTGTGAACGAGCATCCTATCGTGAGAACACACCCAGTAACTGGAGAGAAGTCACTCTATGTCAACCCTCAATGTAAGTGACACTATAGAGGTACCCGAACACATTACTAACATAGTTACTAGTTACAAGAAGCATTGTCGGTCTCAAGAAGGAAGAGTCTGACGCTATCCTCAACTTCCTCTTTGAACACATTGCCTGGGGCGCAGACTTCCATGCCCGCGTCAAGTGGGCAAAGGGAACTGTTGTAGTATGGGACAACCGATCTGTTCAGCACACTGCTATTCTGGATTGGCACTCTGGTCAGCGTAGGCATTTGGCCCGCATCACACCTCAAGCTGAGAAACCGTACGAGACACCGTTCGAGAGCTAAATCTAGTATGATACATATGACTAAGAAATAAATGAATACTTTTAATGAATGCCGACCTTGTCGCCTTCGTTTCTCTTAGGTCTCCTAGGTTGAATAAAGCGCCATGGCTATTTGGTTCAAGCTGTCATCTCTCCCGTTCCCTTCTCTCCCGCAGTGCCATCCGCGTCTAAGAGAAAGATTTGAGAAAACTCTCACTCCACAGCCGTCACCATAACACCAAAACTTCCAGAAAAGTCTTCATGTCGATTCTCAGAACACAGACTACGCCTCACCATTTCCACAGATCTCAAAAACCAGAAGCCAATCCTGGAGCCAAAGGAACCTTGAACTCTTAAGCTAGAATAAATCGAAGCTCCACAGACGACGTAGATGTATTCCGGATGTGTTATGGAGTCGGGGATGGCGATGGGCGACTGCATTCCAAAGTCCCTGAGCCGACTGGCCAGTCACTTACACGGCCTCTGGCTGTAACGGTAAGCCAGGTCTTGGGATGGTCCACAAATGAAGGTTAAGAGCAAGCCACAAAATTCTCTTCTTACTATGCCAAGTCTTCTTTGTCTTGGATATTGTTGAAGATGTGGGAGTTGTCTTACATGAACCACGTATAAGTGAGATGAGATAGTTATCACAACCTACTACAAGAACTCACATTCATATTGTAAAAGGATATATCGTTATTCTGCTCAACGATATCATATCACCTATGATGCTTAACCCTCTCGCCTCTCTTCAAGTTCCAATTCCACATTCGCTGCATCGAGTCTAGTTCAGGAACAACTGGAATTTTGCCACGCCCACTATTAAAGGTACAGCGCATCTAGAGCCACATAGCTTCAAACCTAGAGTTTTGAATCATTAGAAATTGACTCTTGTCAGTGACAAACATTGGCCGATCATAAGGGCCCAGGTATAAGATGGCGAGGTCTCTCTCCCGTTTGCGGTTGTTGTCTCAGTCTCTCTTTAACTACCAACGCAACAACTTGTAATTTCCTTGTTCTCTTGTTCCTTGATCTTGTTACTTTTACAGATCGAATCCACTCTTTTGAATCAAAAGTATTACTCTGACGCACACACATATATCGTATAACATATACAAATCTCAGTTCATACACCATGAAGGCTTCTCTCGCTCTCTCTGTCCTGGCATATGCCATTTCAACCGCAGCTACAAGCATCCACCACCGCCGGGCCGACAACCTCCTCCCTGCTGCCGGCATCCCCAAGGCTGGCTACAACGCTTATGGGGGAAACTATGATCATCCCGAGACCAACCAGTTCCAGCCTGTTGGTCAGAAGCAGACATCTTCCAACTCTGGCTCAACCACCAGCAAGAATACAGACAAGAAGGCAACTACTCAGTCTCCAAAGTGCATCTCAAAGGGAAAGCTAGAGTCCATCGTCAACAAATACGTCTCTACTTTTTCAGGTATCACTGACGGCGGAAATCTCGCAAAGACCATCTTCAATGACGATGTCAAGTTCTATTCTCAGTCGATCTGGTGGACTGAGTCTTCCAATAAGATTAGCAAGTACGCCAAGGTAAGCACTCTCACTTTCCACTGTCATACAATTATGCTAACATATGCTCGCCAGAACGACAACTATCCTCCCGTCTACAAGAACCTGAAGGAGCTTATTGCGGGCAACATTGAAAAGACCAATGACCCTAGTGCTTTCATCAAGGGTGCTGTCGCCTACGGTTGCAACACCTTTACCATTTACTGGAAGGGCGACTTTGAGGTTCCCAAGGGTAGAAACCATGGCCGTGGCAATGGCATTGATCTTGTCTTCTTGAGTCCCAAAACTGGTAAGATCAAGAAGGCTTTTTCAGAGTACAACACCCTCAACCAGGTTTACAACTGGGGTGCTCACATCACCTGGGCTAAGGATGAAGTCTGCTGTGACTGCCCTGTAGTGTTTGACCCCAAGTGCAAGTGTACCAAGTAAAGTAGTTACATGGCTGGTCAGGCATTTGTAAGATAGTTGCTAAGGGAATAGAAGGAAAAGGAGTTTGTGGGTCTGTATTTAGGTATTTGGAAGGCGTTGACTATATATACAATCTTTACAACCATAATATCTAGAATATCAGACTTATATCCTAGTGACTGATATGTCATCAAATCTATCACAGACGACTAGACACCTTGTGTTCATCGCCCAAGAAGACATTGATCAGCTTAGAAAACTCATCTGCATACTGATAAAGGAACCCATGTCCAGAATCAGGGTATAGATGCAACTGAGCCTGTGCATTCTTCAATTTCCTCCACATGACAATGCTGTTTTCCGTTGGTAGCAAAAGATCATCACTCCCTAGTTTGCGTCAGCATATGTTATCAACAAACAATGACTTCAACTTACCGTTCGCAATCAAGACAGGTATGCGCAGCTCCTCAAGTCGATCATAAGACGCATCCTTTGCCTGCTTTGGATCCATAAACTTCGCAAAAGCAATTCCCTGTCGCCGAGCATTGTCCGGATCAACATGCCCAGTCCTGTCCTTCCTCGCCCCTGTGATCCTCTTCCACGCAGCCTCGCCTGCGGCTTTGCTCTTGGCTGATGTTCCAAACATACTAATCATGAAGGCATTTTTGTGCTCCTCCTCTGTCTTGGCCCCACTGAGAAGGTTGAAGGGTGTCAAGTCGGGTGCTGGTACCGTACCCTCGCCGCTGCTGGGCATGGTTCCGCAAAGAATCAGACGACGTACAAGACCTTGTCCGTTGAGGGCGACAAGCTGCGCAGCGCATCCGCCCATTGAGAAACCCATTACATCAGTCTTGTCAACGCCGAGTGCTCGCAGAACATTTATGTAGTACTGCGCCCATAAGAAGTACTGTTTGGGAACTTGTCCTTCTGAACGACCTACGCCAGCATTATCGATCATGATGATGGGTCGCTTAGCAGCGAGGGGATTTATGAGGGCTGGATCCCAATGATCCATTGTTCCCCTTTCTTGTTTAGTCTTTGAAAGCTACAGAGATTGAATTGATACTCACCTAAAGTGCATAAGTAATGTGAGGGGCACACCATTGGTTTGGCCGAAGCGTCTGTAGGCGAATTTGATGCCATCTACAGTGATGAACTGGTTTTGAGCGGTCTCGTAAGTTGTCATTTTGTAAGATTGTTGTTCAAGCAGCTGAGCGAGTGGTGTTGTATCAATGAATATGTAAGTCAAAGTAAAAGATGCCGAGGTTGGTCGGCATTCAACGTCAGCTGATCCGGGGAACCCTGTCAATGAATACTTTCCTCTTTGGGAACTCATTTTAGTGGCAGCTCGCTCTAGAAGGGATGATATTTTTTGTATCGTAAGATGACTTATATAAGACTCTATGAGATACTCGCTTGCTTTGGGATAAATTTGACAAGGGTTGATGTTTACAAGTTTCTAGCATCACTCAATATGAGCCAAGGTTCTCAGGAGATGGTATCATCATATTCATACAATGCTTCATTCATTCCTCATCCAACGCCTGTACGTGATTTATCCTAAAACAACATGTCCGCCCTGTTTAGGTATGTATAAAACTCAGATCGAACTACTCCAAACCTGATGGCCTAGCATGATTGTCAAAACTCCCACGCCATATTTACCACCTTCTGTGTTTCCCTGCCATGTCTCCCAGGCAAGCCAGCATACTGCTGTAAGCTCAAACACACTCAATGCGGAGCTCACATATGACGCCGCGCTGGGGGTTCTACTATCTCTTGGTTCTCGACCTGCTTCGCCTGTTACTCGTAGAGCGATTACTCCAGCTGCAGACAGCAGAGCAAGTTGCACCTCCCGACCAAAAGGCATTGGGAACGCAGCAGTCAGGCCCCAAAGAACAAGCAAAACAGCGACAGTTATAAACTCGACACCAAGTCTCTCAAATTGGGGGGTACCAGGGCCGCCAGCACCAAACGAGCGTGCTCTTGATCTTTGGTCAGGCTCACTCTGTTCTTGGCCTAGACTGAAGCTCTGGCTTAAAAGATCCGCCAACCCACTTGCCTCATCATGACTTTCCTGGGGCGCGAAAAAGCTGGGTGGTTTGAAAGCAACTTCATGCTCCTCTCTCTCATTTTCGTCCTTCTTCCTAGCGGCTCCACGGAAGAAAATGCTCTCCTGCTCCACGGGCTTACTCCTTATAATGGGCGCATTGGGTGGGTTTCGCAAACGGTGAGATGGGGTCGTTGGAGCGGCAGGAACTTTGTACCAGAATGGATTTTGGTTGTTCACTGGCGACTCGCCAAAAGCTCTTCTTGGTTTATTCAAGGCTGGCGAATTTTGAAAGGCTCGGTATTGCGACTGTGGCTTAATATGAGATTCAGTAGGGATCCAGTCCATTTCGTCCGAGCATCCGACTTCCTGGGTCCTTTGTGGGGTGACGTTTAGACTGTTGAATTGATTTAAGGGGCTTTCTTGGGGGCGTAGTGGACTACTGGGTACATATGGCCGTGGCGAGAATGAGCTGACAGATGATTGTTGTGATCGGCCAGTCTGAGGAGCCGGCGTGGGTGAATCCAGTGCTTCGTTCAGCAGATCGGAAAATGTTTTTGGCTCTTCCCTCTTCACTCGGGTGAGTTTGGGCTGTTTTGGCGAAAATGCAGTGTCAGAGCTGTTGCCGAAAAGGGGCGTCGTGTCGACTTTGATAGATCTCTTTGCAGATGAGTATATCTAAGCCGAATTAGCAGACTTTTATAAGTATGAAGGAGTGACTTACCATGATCATCACGGCCGACATGACCAGATGCGCACTAAGCTGGGCGTTACGTGACTGCGCATGGCCTCCGTCCATTTCAAGGACCCGACGGAATAGGAACCGGAAGAAGACAATCAGCCCCTGGAAAGAGTACCACTGCGTAAAGCCCAGCAGATGTCTGGAGAATCCGCGAAAGACTTGCACAAACTGAGGATTCCACCATGCCGATAGTATGCTTGCGAGAACAGCACTATTGATCAAGAAGTCTGCCGGTGGGAGGAAATCGACAGCTCTAGACAACCCAGTTACAGCTAATGCTGACCAGCTTTGATCATCAGGGTCATACATCCCAACATCTTGGTGCTGCAAGGTGAAAGTGACTGCCCTAAGATGCCAAAACATTTGCATAGTCAATCCTCCCCACCATAATGCCCTGCCCAGACTGTCAATCCAGTTCAGGGCACTACTGTCAGAGGTGCTCTTCCTTCCCCTACTCTTCTCCATCATCCGTCGTAAATGATCTGTCTTGGCCGTGTATCCCGCTCGTTTAATTTGGCTATCTACTCGTACGGCGCATTCGTCACAGACTTGAGGGTATCGTTCCTCCAACCCCTTTCGATATCGGTAGTAGTTGCGCTCGAGCTCGGCATATTCCGGGTGATTTGGGTCGTCGGGCAGGTACTGTGCCAGGGATGAGGTGAAAAGTCGTTGATTCTTGAGACATGTTGCGCAGAAGATGCTGTCTTGGGGAAGTGAGGGAGAGGATGGTCGAGGATTGGCGTATAGGGTTGCGGGAGCTTCACGCTCGGTAGCTACTGGAGGATCCGTAATCTCTCCATTCTATTCTCGGTCAGTAACGAGACTCATCAAGATGAAGGACCAGTGTTCATACATGATCGAGGTAGTTTGTCGCATCGCATGACAGGCATAGAAACTGGCGTGTGATGCCGTCATATTTAGTATTTGATCGCTTGCCGCAATAAAAGCAGGTCAAATATTTGGTCCCTCGCAGGCGTGGCATTATTTCAATACCATCTCTTTATTAGAGTAAGGTTGGCGAGAAAAGGGTTGTAAAAAGGGAGTGGTGATGACGAGCATAAAAAACAAAATCACAGTCCATGTCCCTTGTTTATTCCAAGTTTAGATCATCTTTTGTTGTTTCTGCCGGGCGGTCAGAGCCTAGATTTAGAGGTCATGACGGTGGGGCCTGCACTGTAGATGTAGATCCATGACCAGTATCCTTCCAGAAGGTTAGAAGGCTACTGGGTAGCAGAAAAAATGGCCTCATAAGTCTTAGGGTATAAAAACAAGTAGTCGAAGAACTATGGCCTACGGGGCATAAAGTGACCTACTAATTTCGTTTCTTATGCTTCCAGCGGTCAATTTTTCTGGTACCCTGAGGGAAGATTACTTGGGATTGCAGTGGCCATGATAGTGGCCATTTCTTTATTCAATTCTTCATGAGGAGTCTTGCTAACAATCAACATTTAAAGACAAAAGAAACTAGATATTTGCGTCTTCATCACATCTTTGAGTGCTCATAGGTAGGTTATGCGGGCCATACACGTACCTGTAGGTACTTTCGTCAAAACATTTCTTCTGTTTTGTTCCTGAATCAACCCGTCGTCAGGCCAGTGAATGTCACGTCACCGAAATACATACAAGCCAGCACCTATCACACCTTCACTTAACCTTTACATCCATAGAACCAAAAGCCAATTTCTTTGTCGCAACCCCAAGCTCCAACTGCTCACAACCGTCTTTGCTTCTTGAACGACTCTTTCATCTCCATTTTCTCACGCAATGCCATCATCATGACCTCTCAAGCTTCATCATCGCATCCTCCTGCCCTCCATCTAACAATCCGCTTCTCAACATCCCAACCAGACCTGGAACTCGACATCCCCTCCCCCCAAACAACAACCGTCCTCGCTCTAAAATACCTCCTCCGCACACGTTTATCCTCCCGCAGTAGGTTGCGTCTAATCTACCAAGGTCGCATCCTCCCTGATGCCTCGGCGCTCAGCTCAGTTCTTAAAACGCCTCCCCCGCCGCTGCGCAACATCGACGATCCAAAAGGCAAGGGGAAGGCTGTCGAAGGCGCCAACGTGACTAGGGTCTACGTTAATTGTTCCATCGGTGATGAATTGACCAGCGAGGAGCTTGATAAAGAAAAAGAGGAGGCGCTCAAGCCCCCTCAGGATGTGAATGGAGATGACTCTAAACCCACGAAATCAACGAGGCCACGACCAAGAGGTTTTGATCGATTACTACAGTCAGGAATTACACCTTCCGAGATCGCGACGCTCAGAACACAGTTCAACTCTATACACACAGCAGGCTTTACGCCAGATGCGATGCCATCGCCTGATACGTTGCGAAATATGGAAGATGCATGGATAGACAACAACGCTGACGGCCTCCCATCCGGATCCAACCCCCTAGAAGACGAAAACGCAGGTATGGCGTCAGTTCTAGATGTGTTAATAAAAGCCATGATCGTCGGCTTCTTCTTCCCTTTGGGAAGCTTGACGTGGCTTTTGCGTCAAGAGGGAATCTGGAGTAAGAGATGGCAGATCTTTGTCGGGTTCGGAGTTGTATTAAGTCTTTGCATTGGCTTCGTCATGGAGTTATCAGGAGATCGGCCTTAGGAGACCGAAAAGCTATCGTAGGGCGGAAGGCTTAAGGCGGACTTTACAAAATCCCACAAAGGAAACTTTGCATGGGCCATTGTTGTAACGTGGGCGGTTGCAATTTTGCAGTTGCATAATGAGCGAGGAATCGTGGCACACTTGAAAATGCAGCAGATGCGTTAGGTTATAACCAGGAGTACAAGGCGTAACAATGAGCTAGCGTTGTACCTTAGAAGCGACTGATTACTTTACATAAATACAATGCTCTATCAAACTATAGGGATTGCCTCGGGTTTGTACCGGTTTCGTTTCCAACATTGGACCAGAAAGAAACTCGATAACCCGGATCACAGGATAATTGATACATCTTTTCCCGACGCGCCAAACTCCCTAGCCAGTAATGATAAATCAGAAATCTACATATCATCCCCCTTTTCGTGGGCTGCCCCCTGTAGCATTTTATTCTACGAGCAAAGGGGACTTTATAGGTACAGACTCTGGGCGGCAACAATGTCTCTGCGGATCTTGGACAGACTCTCCTCGAACTTCTTGGTCAGATCCTCGTTGCCCATGACCTTGGCAGCCTGGGCCATCTGTCGCAGAAGCTCTTCCAGACGACGGAAAAGACGGATAAGTGAGCCTTCGTAGACATTTGTCATTTTGCTGCAATGTGTTAGTGAAGTTCTTGTTCGTAAACAGAATAGTGACTTACCAAATCTCGACAAATGGACGACCTTGGGCCCATGTGTAAACCGTCTCCATAAGCTGCCACTTAAGCTTCTGCGCATATTCCTCCTCGTTGACGTCAAGCTTGCACTCCTGGCTGACCTTGGCAATAATTCGGGCCTTGGCCTGGATCTCGCGGTAAGGCTTCTGGAGCTCCTCCTTGAGTGCAGGGGCCTCGACCTTCTCGTCGAAGATAAAGCAACTCATGACGGCAGCGCACATCTCAGGAGTAAGCTCGTTAAAGAATCGGTCGAATAGCAACTCGGAAAGGAGAAGCTCGTGACCCTCGGTGGAAGAAACCTCACAGGCGACACGGGCCTTGAGCTGAACGACCTCGGAGTCGTTGATGAAGCCTAGACGGCGCAGGACACGCTTGCGTGACTTGAGCTCGTCCATCTGAGCAATGCTGTATGCCTTGGCGATAGACTTCTTTGTCTCCTTGACCTTCTCTGTGAGCTTAACCTTTGCATGGTACTGATCCCACAGTGAGGGGAGAAGAGGAGAAAGGTGAAGAGGGTTGGCCAAGAGTCGGGACTCGAGGACCTCAATCTTTCGTAGAAGCTTCTTGAAAGAGTCGTCGGTAATCTCCATGTTCTCAATGGGATCCAGAACAGGGAGACCATCAGGGAAACGACGCTTGACCTCCATGAGGGACTTAGTGAGTGTATCCTTGTCGCCGTCACTCTTGAGGCCTTCCTTGGGAAGGAAGAGACGGATCTGACTGATCGCCTTAATGCAGGTCAACAGACAAGGAACAACAGCAAACTTGATGTCTTCGTCATCATTGCAAGGCTTGATACCAGGAGGCATCTCTTCAGCGGGTTGTCCAGGGTGGAAATCCGCGCTTGACCTGGAAATAGGAAGAAGAACGTCAATGACGTGAGCTTCTTGGGGAATATACTCGGGCTCGTTCAGCTTGGGGGCACGACGAGGAGTCTGGTTGACGATAACACCCCAGCCAAAGTCGGTTCCATTGCCAGCGATAGTCTCGTTCTCGTCCTTGGGGTTGTAGATCTGTACCAGACGGCCAGGCTGAAGGTATGAGATACTGTAGTTGGGGTGCTGAATAACAGTTCTCATATCCCTCGTGTACGCGCTAAGTTGCTGTCGAATCTGGTAGTAATCCTTGACGGTGGACTCATCGGCAATGCTGGTGCTGTCGCGCTCCTGCTGCAAAGACATTAACTCCTTCTCCAGGGACGGGACGCTAGCGGCATTCTGGAACTGATGGAAACATCGCTCCAACATATATTCGGGAGAGATAGCTTCGATACGGAGAAGGTTGAGAATCATGTTGTAGCCGAGGTAGAAAGCAGAGTTGAGTCGATCTTGGTGTCCGGTAACAATCTCCTTGGCGGTATCAGGCTCGAGCTTGTCGTCAATCATCATGATAACAATACCACGAGCATCAAGACCACGACGACCAGCACGTCCAGCCATCTGAATGTACTCGGATGAAGTAAGAGGGCGCCTCTTGACGCCATCCCACTTGGTAACTTGTGTGAAAACAACAGTCTTGGCAGGCATGTTGAGACCGATGGAGAAGGTCTCGGTAGCGAAAAGAACCTTGATCAAAGACTCCTGGAACAGAATCTCAATGGTCTCCTTGAGAATGGGCAGAAGACCGGAGTGATGGACACCAATACCGCGCTCCAACAGAGGCAACAAGTTGATAATCTGCGGAAGCTCCCTGTCCTGCTCCGACAAACTCTCGATAGCATTGTGGAAAACCTTGCGAACCATGGCCTTTTCAGAATCGTCGTTGAAACTGAGCGAGGAAATGTTCATGGCCATGTTCTCGCACTCTCGCTTGCTGAAGTTGAAGACAATGACAGGGTTAAACTTCTTCTTGATGGTCATTCGAATAATCTTGGCGATATCAGAGCCATTATCCGCACCACCCTTGTTAGTCTTCTTGTTTTTGCCCTTTCCTTTCTGTCGAGCGGTAGGGTCGTTGGGGTCAGCGCCCTTCTTCTCCTCGACCTCCTGCATAACCTTGTTGAAGTTTTGCTCGTTAAAATTGCTCTTCTCGTCGACGATAAGTCTGGCGCCACTACCACCGGCAGGGAAGAAGTAGTTCTGAAGGGGGGTTGGTCGGAAATCGGTATAAACAACGTGACAGGCCTGGTGATGAATCTTGGCAATCCACTCGGCGAACTGGAAAGCGTTGGGAATGGTGGCAGAAAGGAAGACATATCGGACCTTGTCGGGAAGCATGATGATTGTCTCCTCCCAGACGACACCTCTCGTCTTGTCTCGCATGTAGTGGATCTCGTCAAACACGACCCAGGCGACTTCTCGCATGATCTCGGAACCTCGATACAACATGGATCGCAAAATCTCAGTGGTCATGACCAAGCAACTCGCTGTGGGGTTAATAGTAACATCGCCAGTCATGAGACCAACGTCTCCAAAGATGGACTCGAAATCTCGATACTTTTGGTTACTCAAGGCCTTGATAGGGCTTGTGTAGATGACTCTTTGGTTGCGCTTCAAACATTGCGCGACAGCGTACTCGGCGACGACAGTCTTTCCGGCAGAAGTATGCGCTGAGACAAGAACACTCTCCTCGCGCTCAATGGACGCCACGGAGAGACTCTGGAAAGGATCAAGCTTGAAGTTCCATGTTCGTGCGGGTTGGTCGGGGGCCTTGTGCTCGGAAAGAGGGACGTATTCGTAGTCTAGATCCGGGGGCAAAGCAACCTGATGTTGAATGTTGTGCGACAAAACGAGAGATGAATCCTGCTCTGTAAATGTGGCCGCGCCAGCGACCTCTCTTGACTCGGCCGTCTGGAAGGTATCTGTCATAACTGGGGCTACGCCATCCTCCTTCTTCCTCCTCTTGGTATCCTGCGGGCTGGCGCTTTCCGAAGAAGACTCGTCGTCGGAAGAAGCCTCATCTTTGGATTCTTCGGTAGTGTTGTCCATGTCGACATCCTCAGACTTTGCCGCGTCGCCGTTTTCGCCGTTTATCGCGTTGGCCTTTCTCTTCTTTGTCTTGTCGCCCTTGCGGTTTCTTTGCGACACAGTCTCGTCCTCGCTAGCACTTGGGGCCTCCACCTTGCCCTCGAAAACATCAAACATCTCATCCATGTTGGCGATGTTTTACCCGCGACCGGGAACCGATCGCTAGCTGCAGAAAAAAGTGATCGAGATCGGGAATGGCTGGTGAAAAGCCTATACTATAGTTCTGATGTCGCGCTATGAATCAAAAACCATAGGGGTAAGGAAATAAAAAGTGCTATAACCTCAAAGTAGGTATAAGATTAAGAAAAACCCTCGTGAAAAGAGAGTTTGGCTTGTCGTCTTGTACAACAAAGAATCGATCGATCGTCCCAAACTATTCGTGGAACACGGGCCTGGGCGATTAAAAAAGTTGGTTAGAAAGTGGGTTGCCCGGCAGAAAAAAATCCCCTGGCGAACGGACTGCAGGCGGTGAAAGCTCTGGAGCAATTGGAGACAAAGCACCGACGTCACGTCCCATCCAACCGCAAGTGAATGAGATCTATTGTCAGCAGTTCAGATGCACGTGACCTATTAGCGTTTTGCTCCCAAACCTCAGACCACCATCTCTGACCTCGGATGCTATCACCACTGACACATACTCAAGCTTCCATCTCCCAATCTCCACTCCTCAACGTCAAGGTGCGTCCACTGCAAAGCCATTGACTGGCTCGGCTTTGCTCTACCAACTTTCGCGAACCGAATTGACCTTTTGCTTGTATAGATGCTCTCCCGCGCCGCTACCCGTACCACGACCTCTCTGGTCACCAAGCGAGGCTTCCAGACCACCCGCGCTCGCATGTCCTCCCCTTACCACTACCCTGAGGGCGCCTACAGCAACATCCCCTTCAACCCCCGCAGCAAGTGGTTCGGCGTTGGCTACTGGACCTTCATGGCCACCGGTTTCTTCGCTCCCTTCGGCATTGCTGGTGCGTGGTTTCTCTCCCGACGTCTTCCGATTCACGCTCCGGATGCTAACTCGCAGCGCAGTCTGGCAGACCTACAAGCCCCAGTAAATTTGTCGCTGACGGACTGGGTTTGTTGTTTGATTGAAAGAACGGAAGCCTTGCGGCGGCAGAATGTGGTGTACATAACCGAAATAGACATCAGTCATTCTCGACTCTTGATTCGAAATTTCGTTTGTCCGAACAGCTATATTGGAGTAATGTGTGAAAAACGAGTGCTCATATTCTAGTCCAATGCGATGCAAATCCCGGCCAACCCAATTTTTGATATACAGAATCCTTGTCCTGGGGTATTAATCTATCTTAAAGTACATGGTGGTACAGCTTTATTGTTACATCATAATCTCGTCCTATCTTTTTTATATCTTCGATACGATGGGCCAGTCCATTTACCCATCGGAGATTTCATATCAACGCCGTCGATAATGCACTGTAGCATCGACTGTATAAACGGATGTCGGTCCGAAGGAATATCCCAGCGCTGCGCCATCTCATCGTACACTTGGACCACTGCCTCATCAGAGCAGCACTTTTTGGTTGCTCGCAGAGCCCAAATGACCAACCATCTATCGATGGTAAATCCTCTGATGTTTTCATCTCTTGCCTGGTACATGGCTTTCAATACTCCTTCTAGACGTTGCTCACTCCACTGAGAGCCATTAAAGCCGCCATGAGAGTAAAACCCCTTGAATAAGGCCAGAAAGATGGTGGCATGAATCGGAATGTTGAGAAACTTCATTTCGTCAAGGTATTGTGCAACCTTGGCCAAATCCCCAACTTTGACCGAGTAGTGCTCAACAAAGAGCTGGTAGGTATGGAGATTTGGCGAAAGCTGCATCTGTTTCTGCAATGGCTTGTGAAGCTCGGGGTGCTTCTTGCCAATCCTCGTGAACATCATCAGCACTTTGGTGACGACCCGACCCATCCCGTAGTCTCTATCCGGGATATCGGGCGCCATTTCATGGCCGGCCTTCATTCTTTGGTACGTCAGCTCTGCTGCTGACTCCTCGCCACATCGCAAAAGACCAGATATTACACAGTTGAGCACAACAGTGTCTATCATCTCGCCTGCCTCAACCATGTTCGTGTAAGCGGCACGAATTGCGCTCGAGTCCATCTTTAGGCCGAAATAATGTATCAAACTGACATGGTGGTATCGGTTGTACTGAAACCCTCGATTCTCCATCTCTTTATAAATCATGTCGGCAAGGACAAAGTTTCCCGCTTTCGCAGCCACATCAAAGAGGATGTTGAACGTGACTTCGTTTCCCTTGACATTGGCCGTTCGCTCCATCTCCTTCCACAGCCTCAGAGCCGCATCCATCTCGTTTGTTGTCACGCGAGACGAATACCTTGTAGCAAATGCCAAAGCATAGTTCCAATGCACCCTTCGCAACGTCAACCCTGCGCTTTTGACATCAGCGACCAGCGCAAAGTAACGCAGCATCGACTCCGAGTTTCGCTTTGGTGGCATTCCCATAACCTTGAGTAATCTATTCCGCCACTGCCAGGTAAGGTGTAGCATTCTCGGTTGAGGTAATTGAATATACAAGTTGTATATTGGCTCGAGTGTTGTTCGATATGGATGGCGCAGCTTGTACGAGACAGCATTGCACAACTTGGCGATCAACTTTCTCGTTTCGTCATCGGTCCTGAAGGTTTCCTCTGTCGTCGGGTATTCCACATCTCGTCTGTTTTCAGAAACCTGCAACTTCTGACCATCCGGCTGAGCATAGCCCCTCTGGTAGGGATCTTGGTAGTACTCCAAATGCTCATCCACTGTTGTTGAGTCTTCGTGGGGTACCAGAGCCTTTAGGTGTCGTGGATCGTGTGCGTACTGAGTGTGAAACCTCTGGTTTATCGGGGGCATCGGAGCGACTGCGGCAGAGGATGCAGTGCTATAATTGTTGGAGGCATGTCGGGACCGTGGGACAGGCAGGGCACGCCGAGCCTGAGCGGCAGGTGTAAAAGTCGAGAGAAGCCATAGCGAGCTCCGGGAACACGAGGGACTCGAATTCGGATTCGGATTTGTTTTCTTCCTTTGCTGCGTCTGTTTTCTGGCATCTCTGGCACAGCAGAGGCTCCTCCTTGTGGTTGTAACCCCAAAACTGGCCGACGGTCGGTTCGAAAGCACCGCACAGAGGGAGCCGTCTAATCGACTGGGGACTTTCATGAGCTCCTCCTCATGATGCTGCGACCTCTGTTGCGTTAGCCGTAGCAGTTGGAATTGACTGCAAATTTCCGTAAGCGTTTGGACGAGACAAAGCGGCGCTGAGAAAGAAATCAAATCGGCAATCTCTCTCAGGGAAGAGCTAACGGCAGCGTAAGTTGAGACGGAGGAGGAGGCTTGTTCTTGTAAGTGGGACCTTTTTTTGAAATGCTTTTTTGCTACACTATGATTCGCGCCAAGCTGTAGTAGGAGTGCGGGACAATAAAACCCGCACATTGAAACAAATGTCTAGAAAGATTATACTCAAATGATAGCACTTTAGGACTTCTTTAATAAGAAATGTTACATAGTAATTGGAAGTATGTTGTCATGCTCCTTATCAATGGATATAGGGTTTCGATATAAACACCCCATAACTTTATCAAGACCATCTAATCTTGCCATCGATTTGTATACAGTTTTATTTCACCACCTTTGGCATCCCGCAGTCGGCGATAAGATTTACCGACAGATCTCCAAAATTTCCACTTCAACACCACGATCTAGAGCCTCATGCCGCGGACCGAGTGACATATACTCCCATTCTAAAGCGCCAATTAACGACGTAAGCTTCAATTTTAACCCGCCAATCCTTGCATTTGTTCTGTACTGATTAGAACCTCAGACTTGGCCATGGGAGGTAGACAGATCCGACCCGCAAGGGTCTTTCAGACCGTGAAGGAGGAGCTCAACCACAACATCCTCGGCAAGAAGTCGGTTCCTACGCCGCCATGGTACGATATTATGCAAAAAGTACCTCCAGCTGAGACCCTCGTCCGAAATGTCGCCACTCGACACCAAAACAACCACCGCAAACTCACCAAGCCCAAGAACATATTCCGACCTCAAGACATAACATACTACGAGGACGGACTACGACAAAGATTTTATAAAGACCATCCTTGGGAGCTTGCAAGGCCCCGTGTTATCCTCGAGTCGGACGGAAAGGATTACCAGCATTGCGATTGGTCCAAGGGCTTGAAACAGCCCAACATTCCCTTGACGGGCGAAAGGCAAGTGCTTCGACGTGGACATGAAACAATTACTAGACTAACTTTATATACAGTGTTATCCAATACCAGAGGTGGTTAATGAAGAACGAGGGCCAAACACTTCATCAAGCATACGACTATGTCCGCCATCAATTTTATCGTCTGCGCCAAGAGGAGCAGATCGAAAAGCGAGTGGCTCAAGAGGAAGCCAAATACGTAGGCGCTTACTTTGGCCAAACCCGCACCGATGTTTCCCACGGTCTCGAAGACCGCGAGTTCGAGAACTGGAAGATTTGGGCCGGAAAGGAGACGGAGCGACAGGAGCAGAACCGCAACGGTCAAATTGAGGACTTTGGTTTGGAAGAGGAGGCGGAAGAGGACGTTGAGGACCCAGAGGCAGCGCCGGAGGCCAAGGCCGAGGCCGCAGAAGGCAAGAAGTCCCCTTGAGGCGGATGATACCCGTCATGTACACAACCTTGTATTATCGTCTATGTATCAGAAAGCAACTACGCATGTTCCAAGAAAGCCTCTTGGGTTGGACCAAATCTCTCCGATTCTCCTCTTTCCAATCAAGTTTCCCGCCGAGCATTGAACACCAGTTCACCACAGCACTCGACCTGGTACTTTTCAGCCACCTCCTTGTGCTGTACCAAGACGTTGGCGATGCCAGTGTAGTAGAAGAGCTTTCCAGTAAGGCTCAGGGTGGTGATGCGCGCCCAAGATTCGATGTAGATGATATGCATGGAGGTCTCTGGGACCACGTGGAGAAGCTTGAGCAGGTGAGCGGCCAATCCAACGAAGAAGCCAGTAGCAGGACCGTTGGTGAAAATGCAAGTAGGATACCGCACCCGAGCTCCGGTATCGTTGGCGGGGGGATTCATAAGAGCTGGAAAAATGTCGAGAATACTGAGAAGAGCCGTGAAAGGGGTAGTGAGGAGTGACTGGTGGATCTGACGGGCACGAGTAACGGTGATGGTGTCGTAGCTTCCAGGCTGTGTGCCTTTAGCGGTGCATAAGGCACCTAGCTCAGCTTCGTAATCGACAACATGGTTGGCAGACATGGTATCTCCAGAAGAAATGAGATAGCGACGGTGGAAGTTCTGGAAGCTGCAGTATCCATCGTCCATCATCATGAGCATCTCCTTGGTGTGACCACCAGAGCCCATGACGAAGAGGTAGTACTCATAGAGGTTGTTTCGTTGGTGGAGAGTAGCTTGCTTGCTACGCTTGGAGTTGCGACGAGCTTCAGTGAGCTTAATGTGACGGGCCTTGAATACGTTAGGGTTATTTCGATGCTGAGGGCATGCTTGAACTTACAGAAAAGAAAATGAGAATAAGATTGAAGATGAACAGAAAGGCAGCCAAGGCATTGGCTAGCTTTGAATTTGCGATTATGAGAAGGGCGAATCCAATGCCTCCGGGGATGGCCAAGATAGTATTGAATTCCATGCTTGCGAAGCTGACTTATACCAAGTCGGATGTTGATGAGACCAAGTATTCCAAATGGGGGAAGAAGTAGAGAGAGTCTTAAGTCTTATAGACGTGCAGCAAAAAAATCCAACTTCTCTGAAATCTCTTTGAACCATGCGTGATTAAGATTCAGAACAAACACAAAATCTTGGGGATGGAAGGTAGTACAGGCCCGTTGTGTTCCATCATCAGTGTTTGACAGTGGCCCTGAAGTTGAAGTCTATCATAAAATGTGGCCGCTATTAGCATAAGAGACGAAATTAGTGGGCCAGTTTATGCTATTTGGACCAGACTCTTGGGTTCTTTATTATGTACGATAAAGCTTGGTAGACATATTCTCACTATTAATCTGTCAGGCACGGCCCACAATTAGAGCTATATGAGCTACCCTGGATCAATTATTAAAGTTGATATATGAATCTAAACCACCACTTGATGGTTGCTATTAATCACCCTTTGAGCTTACATCTCAAGTGTTCTGCTATTCCTTGATCAAATTCCATTCAAACCCATTCCAACACTCATAAAGCAATCGTCTCACAACCATTAAACAAATCGCACTTTGGCATCGATCGTCCTCAGATGAACCGAAGTTTCTTCTTGGGAGCAACAACCTCATCTTGGAGCCACTCCCCGCCAACAATCTTTCTCATAGCGTCTCGTCCAGGACCATCAATCACGTCCTTCATTCCTTCACCAGTAGCAGCTGAGCACTCGATGTATTTCTTCGCTCCGATTCGCATCGCCTGCCATGACGCCTATAAATAGTCAGATCACTTTCTCGCAAAATAGTAAAGTTAATAGCAGAGAAACAAACCTCTGTAGAGCAGACGCAGCAAGTAGAATACGCCATCAACTCTGAAGACAAATCCATTGCGGAGCCAGTTCGATGATCTTCCAAAAAGCACTGATCGCGAATGTCCTTCTTGAGACCAACAAGATACAAGAGTGGTTCAAAAGTGGGCGTCTTGGCGAATCCGTGATTAGACGCATGATGCCACTGCTTGGGTTAGTTCTCATCTTATGACTAGACAGAGACATTGTACATACCCATTGGATGATTGTGTACATGGACATCTTGTCCGAAATGTCAAAACAGAGGAATATAGCATCCCATTCGATATAGGTCAACTTTTCAACAGTATTCAAGTCTGGTACGCCTGAAGTGTCCTAAATCTCCATGCGTACAGGCTGGTCGTGGTAGACTCGATCGCTGACATACGTCTCGTACAGTGGACGGGCAAAGGCATCAGACTGTTGATGTTAGCTATCTAACTGACTTACTCAACACGAGATATAACTTGCATGAGGAAAGTAACCATAACGAGACCGACTGTACAGAGTTAGCCTGTGTGTTGGTATTTGTTAGTCATGTTGTATTAACTCACAATAATAGTGATGTCTGTCCAGACCCTTTGCAACCAACAAACAAAAAGTTTAAGTGAATAGGTTCACAAGGAACCTCAGCTTCCTCTTCCTTTCTCTTGCGCTTGCGACTGAGCAGGGTGAGTAAATTGCGTCGGTTACTCTCTGCACGTCGTTCAGTCATGCCTGAAGCAGGACGACTAGAGGGTGTAGAAGAGCGCCCAAACAAAGGTGTAGCTGCACGAAGGAAACTCAGTCGTGTGGAAGGACGACGTTGAGGTGGAGAAACTTCACGAAAAGTCTAAAGATATAAGAAATCAGTCTTGAAGCTGAGTATTCTATGAGGAGGAGGATTTACCAGTCGTGTTGAAGGGCGCTCACCGAACCCGTCGCCTTTGAAAGGATCATCGCGATTAAGACGACTCGGAACGCGCTGGCGCCATAAGTCGATGCGCTCCTCCAACAACATTCTCGGGGCGGACATGAGAAACAAAAGAGTAAATCAGGCGCGCGATGCAGTAGTCAATACAGAGGAAGAAGAAAATGACCATTTGCATGTTGTGATGAGCTATACCAGGAGGAGGGGGGGGGGGGGGTTGTTGTTGTTGTTGGATGCAAGAAAGAGTAAATGTCGAGAATGTGGGCAAGAAAAAGAAGATGAAGAGAAGAGGAATACCAGGTTTGGATTTATAAAGACATTTGCTTTAAGAAGAAAGTAAGAATAAACGCTGCGATAACATTTGAAGTCAATTTCGTGTTGCATGCGTTCATTTGCAGCTGGCAGACAGCTGGCAACATTCAGGTAAACTCGAAGAGTAGAATAACTTATGAACCCGCGCAGTATAAAATATTAAAATGGCCAATTAAGTGTTTGGGAAGCTCAGAGTTCATCCATAGCATCAGCCACATTCGCAATATCCGCCCTTCTCAACCTCGCATCATCAACACTCAACAGATCCTTAGGAAACCACTCCTCCAACTCCCCCCCAGGTCTTCCAACACCCTCTTCCAGATCTTCGCCATCTTTACCAAGAACCATAACCGCCAATGCCGTTCCGCAAAGCCAAGCCCAAACCATACCCTCACCGCAGAATCCCGCAGCTACCCACTCCCCCGAATCCTTCTTGACAGGAGATCGAGGGGCTCGTCCAACAAATGGCATCAAATCGCCAGTGAAACCGATGATTCCAGTCCAGGCTTTGACCAGCTTACTTCCTTCTCCCCATTGCGGTTCGAAAATGGCGGGCATGATGCCTCGGACGTGAATCAGTGGGAGGGCGTGGGTTTGACTGTCGTCCCATATTCCCATCTGATCAATGCCCTTATGGCGACTTCGGAAGAAACCTCCGCCTACCATGAGATCACCCGGTGTTCCGTCTGGTCTGTCTGGCTGCTGGGTTACATAGTCGAAGCCTGGGCTGTAAATCGGGGACCATGAGCGGTTTCCATGGGATGATGGGAATGAAGCGCCAGGGCGTTGGGCACTCATGTGAGCGATGGCGCCGCAAAGCGAACCTCTCAGTTTAGGGAGCAATTGGCCTGCGTGAGCGTTGGTAGTGTGGATGACATGTCGTGCATTGATGGTTCCACGACTTGTTTCGACTGTGTATGTACCATCTGCAATACAGGTGACAGTCTCAACTGGTGTGTGAGTGTTGATGCTCAAGCCCGAAAATCGCTCGAGGAGTTCATTCCATACACCCGTGATAAGTCGATATGGCCAGAGTGCACCAGCTGTATAAGATACAGCACCAGCAACAAGTTCATTTGCACCAAACTATCGCCATCAGCATCAGCATCAACACTTGACTAACACACAGGAACAATGACTTACCTGCTTCCTCGCCTCTTCACCCTCCCAGATCTTGTGCTCCTCCTCAGGCATCCAGCCTTTGACCTCAGCTACCTGCTTCTTCGCACTCTCAAATTCTTCTTGCCCCAAGAACAAATCCACAGTATCAACTTCTCTCACATCACCATGTCCAATCTGCTCTCCAACCTGCTTCATCATGTCCAAATGGCGCCTCTTGAATCTGACGACCCTGCTCGCAACCTCGGGTCCTAACCGATTACGAAACATGGAAAACTCACTATAGGGCGAACTCTTGACATGCCCTCCGTTTCTTCCCGTCGCGCCGCTACATATCTGCCTTGCCTCGCAGACAACGATTCTCAATTTGGAGTCGGAAAGCTCGAGGAGCGACTTTGCTACTGCTGCTCCTGTGATGCCGCTGCCGATGATGACCACGTCAGCTTCTTGGGGAAGCTGGTCATCTTGAATGTCGCATAGCGCGGGAAAGGGCGGGTCGTCGAGCCAGTATGAGTTTGTCGGGTTAGGAACCGGAAATCCAGGTTCTGAAGAGGCCCTAGCAAGAGCGGATGAGAATTGCTTGTGCAGAGCCAAGATGGTTTTGACGCCTTGGGAAATGGCCGAGGTTGTTGACCGAATGGATGATATGACGGCGCCCATGTTTGTTGATGGTTGTTAGAATGAAGTGGATGAGAGACAACAAAATAAATATATCGTATTAGATTAGTGACTGACAAGGTTACATACAACCCGTGGATGGAGTGACCCTTTTCTAGTACTACGTATTGATTATTTGAGGTAGAACAGAAAGGCAAGGACATTGGTGCCGGCTATAACAATCAACCAACCCACTTCAGCTTATTCCGAAGTGTCTATTTTAAGTAAACTTCTGGCTACTGGGAGCAATGTCATGTCATCACGCAAATCTGAGTTGATCGTGAGGACAAAAATTGATACTTCTAAAAGGTCAGGATAATAAGTAAACGGCCTGGTTGTCTCTTGTTACATAGAGTACATATTGTATATAGTCTCCATTTCACGATTTCACCAACCTAGGGATAATCAGACTTGATATTAGACCGAAGACCTTTTAATTCGCATTTTTATCTACCGTCTAAGAGCTACCTTGCTGTGCCACCAGGAATCGCCCATTCACTGCCGTCAAGTGCAAGCAGGTTGCAAATAAAAAAGAACACCATCATCATTCTGATTTTCGTTTCCCTTCCCCAACACCAATGAAACAATTCGAGAAGAAAAAAAGACACTCCCCACGATGAGGCCAAAGCCATCAATCGCCATTCCTCCCCCTTGTCCCTCCACTTGTTTCCAGCTTAAGTGAAGGTCCAGTCGACAGTAAAACCGGGCTTTTCGAACTCCAGCCCCCTTTTCCTGTTTACTGTTGCGCCATAACCGATGCAGGGTATGTTTTGAGATGAATTCGACGTGTCTAAAAGACACAAATCATGTTCCTTCTACCCCTCTGAATTTCATTCGAATCCTATACACCGAGAATCGTCCCTGAAAACTCCAAGGGCCCCTGCTGGGAAAGAAGTCGGCCGTTGATAAAAAAGTAAAAACAAAACCAGAAACTCCGCCAAACCAAAAACCATTTGCAAAACCATCCAAATGAAATAATGGGTATCGGGCACTTCCTCTCAAACGTACACCGCCGTTGTTATTCAGGCCAGCTAAAGACTGGCCACCCCGTACTCAGCGTCCAAATCTCCGGCGTAATCCATGTGGCTCGAGAATCGTCCATATGGATCAAGCCCCAGCTCCTGCCTCACATCCCGTTGGATCTGAAGGAAATATCTTCGAAGGCTTCGAAGGCCCTTAAGAAATCCGCCATCAGGTTGACCCGGGTTCTGCGGGGGGCATGGCTTGTCGTCAATGTTATCAAAGGGAGTGACACTATTGGCAAAATCTGCAATCTTGAAATCAATCTCCCTCTTGCTCTTCACCTTCTTGCGTGGCGTCTCCTCGGTATCAGTGGCACAATCGGTGGTTGACTCGTACGCAGTTTCGTAATCATCATCCTCCGATGTGTCACCGTCATAAAACATGAGCAAGCTCGCTGCGTAAAAGCGGTATCCACCCAGCTTGCTCACAATTTGCTCCAGTTGCCCAAGCTTCTTAAGCACAACTGGAATATGTCGTAGAATGCTATGCAGGTCCTGGCCATCGTATAGAAACTTTTGCAATGCGCCTTGGAACTCATTTCCAGCTTTAAGCTTGCGGCCGTAATACTTGTCCTGGAAATCGTACGTCTGCTTCTCGGCGTTCCATACCTGCAAACCACAAATTCGTACTCCCAACTCGGCCGATGTCGTGTTTCGGCACTTTTCCGTTTGCGACTTTTGCTTCTTCGGAGTGGCCTCTACACCATACTGTCTGGTGCCCATCTTGAGGTCCATCATGCAAGGTCTCTTCATTCCCGATGTAAGATCCTCCAAGAGTAAAAAGTACTCGACACGATCCTTTTGGGTCTTGGCCTCTTTCGGGTTGACTGGTCTGGGTACCCTGGCAAACTCTGAGGCTACATCATCAAGAGCCGGAGCAGGCTCTGTTGACTCAATGGCGAACTCGTGTTCCGGCTTCAGATGTTCAAGATACTGTGAATGGTGATGGGCGCCGTTTGCTTCCGAAGAATGATGTCCTTCATGGTGAGCCTTCGAGTGTCGTCTGGGCTTATCCTCGTTGTCGCCCTTGTATCCAGCGTCGTCGGCTTCTTCAAAGTACTTCAAATCGCCTCTTGGTTCTCGAACATCCTCAGGCTTGCGACGTAGACCACCAGCCGAGTACCTACGCTTCTTCTTAGCAGCGAGAGGGTTGTCCTTAAGTGTTTCGATTTCAGGAGCACTAGTTCCCGTCACATCCTTGACTTCTTCGGGAGCCTGCTCAGGTTCTGACTGCACAAATTCGTCCATGCCCGGTCCGAGATCGCTGTGTGAGTAATGATGCGAAATCTTCCGTTCCGAGTGGCAAGGGGTATCTGTATCATGCTCATGCATGAATGGCGAGTCGCTCTTGATCAAAGCAGGGTCGGAATTGGTGGATCTCAAAAGACGTTGCAAAGTTGGACGCGGAATAGACCGTTGATGCGGCCGGCGATGTCTGTGAATCTTGACGGGTTCTTTAAGGAATGCGTCGTTAAAGACCTCGTTCCTCAATCGCTTGTTAATCATAGTAGCGCCCCAGCTGTTGGGTCGCTCGTCCAAGGTTGGCCTACTGGATGTCCCGGACGAGGGCACGCAGCGGTTTGACAGGGTTGATGTTGAAATACTCTGTCGTCGATATTCCCTTGGCAACGGCATCGGCTGGAGTAGATTTCGGGGCAAAATGTGCCTGTTGTCGTCGAAAGTCACTGTCGGGACAGGGATGTTACTACTCGCAAGAGATTGACTAATAACCCTGCCTGTCGGTCTCTCGGGCTTCGCTTGCTCCTCAGTCTGCTCCAGTTCGTGCCTACAAGCTTCAAGCTTTTCCTGCGCCTTCTTTCGCTCGGCCGCTGCAGCCTCGTCCTTTTTCGACGTGCTCTTTCGGCGCGCCTGCTTTTGAAAGGTGACATTCAGCACACCGATATAGCTGCAAATATTAGTATTTTCAACACATGATGCAAATGACAGGGTCGCAAAAACGCAATTTGATGGAACCTACCGAGGAAGGAAAGGCAGCAGATCACGGTGGTATCTCTCGATAGTCTCGTAAAACTCATTTTCCCTATTGTTGAGTTGTTTACAAACAGCCCTTCGAGAGAATCTCCAGAGGGTGGTGTGGCCACCAACTTGATGTTTATATGGAATGAGCTCAATCGCCTCAAGAGGTGCTTGAGGGTCGTGCTGATGATCATGGACATGGTCTTCATACTGGCTCACGATTTGCGGTTGTTTTAAGGAGTCGGTTGTCACTGTGATTTCTTCCTCAATGACAGCGCCTTCTTCACCTCGCGCAGGAATAAGATCACCGCGTGTCAGGGTCAGTGCCTCACGGGAAGCGTGGCGAGAAATACCAAAAGGCGGTTCGTCCTTCTCATCAATGGCTTCAGGCTCAGGCTCGTCGGCTTTGACGAGCCACGGACGTTGATTACTTTGTGACAGGGACCGGACACGGATACTACGGGCCGCAATGCGGTCCTGCGGCTCACTTACACCAGATTTCTGCGCCTCTTGGTGGGGCAGAAAAACAGCAGACGAGATCTTTTCTTCCCCAGATTCTTCGGCTTCCCCATCTTCACGAGATCCGACTTCAGTATGAGCGCTGTCAGCCGAGTCCCGTCTTGCATCCACTACTTCGGGTTCACGGGTGCCCTCGGCATCGGTAGCCGGAGTCGGCCCCACAGAACAAACCGGCTCCACCAATCTGGTCTGCTCGTGCCCGTGTTTGGCCTGGGATGATGGCTGCACTTGCAGGGGCGTAATGTTTTCGGAATCGAGTGACTGACTGACTGGCAGAGAGAAATATCCATCGCTAGGCGATGTGCTAATAGTAGGGTGTTCATCGAGCGGATCCGATAGCAAAAAAGAAGCTTCGCGATCTTCCGGTGGAGGGCGAGTGGGTGTCAAATCCTTGTCAGAAGTTGCAGACTGGGGCGCCTCGCGCGAAGCATGCTGACGACCTTCATCAAGAGGAGGCAACTTCTCTTTGGGAGTCTTGGCGTCTTTGCGGCGGAGTTTCTCCTCGGCTGGCAACCCTTCTTTGAAGAATCGCAGACTGTAGCTCGATTTGCGACTGCGAGCATTGTGTTCCAGACCAGCCATGGCCTCGGTGACAGACTTCTCTACCAAGCCGTCCTCCTCGTGGCCTTCAGTGGAACCAATTGACCATATTTTTTCGTTCTTCTCGGTACCATTGCTTGCCCAGTGTGGCGGTAACTTTCCCCATGGCACCGGCCTGACCTGAGTATTTCTAACATCTTCCGTCCGCGTCGGCACAGGTGTCTTGGTAGGTGAGCAAGTCTCGAATTGGGTCGGTCGATCGGTAAGGTCGGCGGCGTATGTTGTAATTGGAGGGTGGTAGGAGTCGACCGACTGTCTCTCCAAGTCTAGGGATGTCGAAGTCTTGCCACGAGACCCATCCATCTTGCGATGGTCAAGAGCGCCTCGAAGTGTAGCAAGAGTTGAGTGGTTGAGGGATGAAGGGACGCTCGCAGCCTCGCGAGGGGCGAGCGACGTCATTGTGGTGGCTGTAAATGATCCCATGTTGATAGATTCAGAGGTAGCTCTCGTTAACGGTCGAGGAGCGGTGCGCTGAGCGGGGACATTGTGATGAATAGATTCGAATGGATAGGAGGCGCTGTCGCGGTCGTACTGGGAAGCGAACGTCGCTGGTGCTGTTGGTGGTCCTGTTAATGAAGAGGGACTCAACTGCGCATTGGGCGAGGTGGAAGTCGAGATAGTCGCTGAGGGTGAGGCGGTCTTGTTTAGGTTAGACTGTCGAACACCAGGAACAGAAGTAGTTGTAAGGGTTGTGGTGGAGGATGAGGTGACAGGAGAGATGGTTGTAGTAGTTGTAGTGGTGGTTGAGGGAGAGAAGGATTTTGACTGCTTGAGGTTTGTAATACCGCGGGCAGAAGCCAAGGCTTGGGTCAGCAGGGAAGGACCAGATTGCCTCGGTATGGGACCTGGGCCACGAGCCTTCTTATTACTAGAGGCGGAAGCAGA